TAAACTCCTTTGGGTCACATGATGCAAACCTCCTCGTGGTGTGGCCTGGACGTCGAGCAATTTGTTCGATGACTAATGTGCATCACTATCACTGGCAACATAAACTTTTTTTAAAGCTTCGAACTCGAGTTATTGTATAAATTTAAGAATTCCTTTAACGTATTAATTAATTATAAAAATAATTAATAAAGATGAAAGTTATACTTTTTATTTAGTTTGGCAAAAAAAAAATTATAGTTATTAAATTATCATTCGAATAGGTTTTTATTTGTTTAAGGATTTTTTTTGATCTTATAAATCGACATTATCGCGTTATAGATAGATAATTGAACATGTGACTTTATTTGAGACTTGATTCTGTGAGATATGAAGCAAAACTGCTCTGATACTTCTACAGTATATTAGGCAACATCTAAATCCATATTTTCAATTTTCTCTTATAAAAGTCATCATTTATATTTCTAAACTACAATTCATGACTAATTATCTATTACATCGATTGATAATTTTATTTTTTATATAAATTAACCGGTTAGGTATAATTTGACACCAAAATCATGGTTCCCGAGTTTGATTGGCGAGCCGAATCTCTACCAATTATATTCAATTTTATAGTACTAATATTAGACTAAACTTGTGGCATTATTTCTGTATTTTTAAACTTTAAACAAAATTACTGTTCCTTGGTAAATTCAATATTTAAGTACATTTTCGAATTCTGCGCCCGTAGAATTCGAAATCATTAACCATCAAAGTTGTGTCATACCTAAGAATACCATTGCTCAAATGTTTAACTAAAATATTTTAATACGTAACAAATTGGCAGTTTCGAATTCTAGATTTTATTATTTTTTCTGCAAATTCGATTTGCTGCAATATTGTCATGTGACATTTATAATTCGTATTTTCTGGCAAAAATATTATTCCTGATAGATCAGAAGTACGTATAAGTGTTTTAAGCTGATTTATGTATTAAAAAGGTATTTTTAAATCAATTGTTTTTACGTACTCTTTTGATGTATTGTAAAATTTTCTATGACAATTACGTAGTCATTTGTTAACCCTAAACTTAAAATTTAAAAATGTTAAGAATCTCTATTTAAATAAACTGAAAATTTATCTATAACGATAACAATAATAATAAATTAAAAACAATTGCATACTACGTATATACTGTACTATGGCAGGTTTGTTGCAGTACGTATAATGCTTTTTATACTGCTACGTACGTACGTATAATAATTGAAAGTTATGCAAAATGCAGCGACATATGTGCGGTTAGCTCATATTGATTGCTATAGCATCTCCCATATTACGTAGATAAAGTACAACTCAAGTACTGATAATACTGTAATATTGAAAATAAACGAAATATGAATTATTATTACTGTGCACATTTGAAGTCTTTTTTTTTTATTAGTTTGATTATTTGTTAAAATATATATTAATTTTTTCGAACACATGATTCTACGTACTGTATTAATTCACAAATTTAGGTAAAAGCTGAAATAGTAGTATTCCATGGCAATTCAAATAACATCTAACGTTACCGTTACGCTAAGTATAAAAAGGTTAAAAAAAAAAAAATTTTATTGACCGATCAGGTTAGACAAAATTACACAAGATTATCGAATTTAATAACTTAGCGTTGTAATTAACCACCGGGGAATGTAAACTTTAAAATATGGTAAGCATAATATTTTGTCAAAGTCAATTTTTATAAATTATATTAGCTACTTGATATAATGGATTATTATTATTATTTGGTAATAGTACGATTTTAAACCATCTCTTCAAGAAGTTAAAGATCTTGTGACAGAAAAAAGGGGAAATACAATCCCTATTTATTGCAGGATTCCTGCAGACTTACTTACACCTGTTGGAGCTTATTTACGTATAACAGAACAAAGCAAATTTTCTTTTCTTTTTGAGTCTGTAACAGGAGGTGAAAAAATTGGGAGATATTCCTTTGTTGGTGCAGGTATATATATAGTAAACCTATTATTAACTTTATATTGCCCTTTTTTATCATATTATAAAATTCATTATATGATATGTTGTTTACACATATTACTTTCATTTGTGTCTAACTAGATCCATATAAAGTTCTTAAAGTAGAAGATAATGAAGGGGATCCTTTGAATTTTCTCGAGGAAGAATTGAAATCTGTCAATTATATTCCTGTGCCTGGACTTCCTCTATTCACAGGTAAATGCATTTTACTAAAATATATATGTATACAAATAGTTATAATATTTCTAATTATTCTGTTAATGAACGTAATTAATAGGTGGTGCTGTAGGATATATCGCATATGATTGTATAAAATATTTTGAACCACGAACTGCACGCGAATTAGATGATCAATTGGTAGAGATTCGGCTCGCCAATCAAACTCGGGAACCATGATTTTGGTGTCAAATTATACCTAACCGGTTAATT